GGGGGTCAGGGGTTTCGGTTTGGAGGAATTTTTTCCCTCTCGCATTGCAGAGATGTTCTTTGGAGGATTTAGGGTTTAGGGTTTACCCTAAACCCTAAACCCTAAACTCTAAACCGTTTAGGGTTTAGGGTTTAGGGTTTAGGGTTTAGGGTTTAGGGTTTAGGGTTTAGGGTTTAGGGCTAAACCGTTTCTGCATGCCTCCCGTCAGCCGAGTCTTTCTGGCCACGAGCCGACTGTTTCTGGGACCTTGCAGGTCGTTGTTCGGTCGCTCCATCACTTGGATGCTGATGATATAGGGGTCGAAGTGGGAGTTTCCGAAAATTAGGGGTACCTTATTTGGGGATCCTTATAATAAGGATCCTACTATTCAGGGTACTATATTAGGGTCCCCTATTTTCGGAAACCCCCAAGTAATGTAGGGGCCTAAGTAACAGCCAGTATTATTTTGGGGGCTCCCATTATATCTATAGTATAATGGGCCCGAAACCCCTATTCTAATTGTTGAGCCCCCTATATTAGTTGCCGAGGTATTTACTTGTGGTCCCGAGTATGCTTCACATTACAAGACGCCTCAAAACCTTTTCCAATTGGCGTCTGTGACACTGTCTGCGTGCAGACTGAAAGGACGGCAGGCTCCCCGAGTGCACAACGTAAGCCCTAAACCCTAAACCCTAAACCCTAAGCCCTGAACCCTAAACCCCAAACCCCAAACCCTGAGCCCTAAGCCCTAAGCCCTAAACCCCAACCCCCCCTTGTACTGGCCAACACACCCCTTCAGGGAACCCTGGAAGGTCCCTGACAGGAGCCCTAGAATATCCCTTAAAGGAACCCTCGAAGACCCCAATGATTTGAATTTTGAATGCTTGTTCAAGGACTTCTGGGTAAAGCGACGGTCAAAAGATCCCGAAACCCTAAGCACCGAGTCCCAAATCCGAACTCGAAGCACTCCAAAACCTCAAAGCCCTAAGCCCTAAACCGTAAACCTCAAAGCCCTAAACCCTAAACCCTAAACCTCAAAGCCCCAAACCCTAAACCCTAACCCCAAGCCAAAGCCCCGAAACCCGGAACCCGAAGCCCTAAACGTGCAACACCAGAGTCACGAAACCCTGAACCCATGATCCGGAAGTTGTTACCCTAAGCTTAAACTTTACGGTTTAGGGTTTAGGGCTTAGGGGCTTGGGTTTTAGGGTTTAGGGTTTAGGGCCTAGGGCTTAGGTTTTAGAGTTTAGGGTTTAGGGTTTTAGGGTTTAGAGCTTTAGCGTTTACGGTTTAGGGTTTAGAACAAGGAACCTGAACCCTCAAAGGCTAAACCTCCTTATAAAGCCATATAGAACTATCCAATTTACGGTTTAGGGTTTAGGGTTTAGGGTTTTGGGTTTAGGGTTTAGGGTTTAGGGTTTAGGGTTATCCAATGCAACTCCATAGCTCTTGCAGCCGAAAGCTTAAGCCCTGAAGCGAGTAATTTGCATCCCTGCGAACTCCGAACTCGGCTCGGCCGCGCAGCCTAGGGTTTCACGGGTTTTTGTAAGGGCTAGTATACCCAGAGAGCCCAATACTCCTTCATTAAGGAGTATACCTTAAACTATAGGGGCCTTAACATTATGATTTAAGTAAGGTATATTCCTTAATTAAAGGGTATTGGGCTCTCTGGGTAGGGGTTACCACAAGGGTTGCTGTAAGATATGCTATGAGGTTATTACAACTTAATGCTTTTCATGTTTAGGAAGGAGTGGGGGGTTTGGTAGGGTGCAGGGTTTAGGGTTTAGGGTTTAGGGTTCCGGGTTCAGGGTTCGAACGGGGGTATACTATCAGGGCTGCTATGCAGGCTGCTGTGCGGAAGAGTTTTAGTAGGTTTAGGATTTAGGGCTTCCGGTCTAACGCTAAACTCTAAACCCTAAACCCTTTTCGGATTTGTTTCAAGAATTCCGGCTTCTCAGGGCTTTGAGGTTCGGTGTCGGTCGCGGACTTTGGGGTCTCGGGTTTAGGATTTTGGGGTCTAGAGTTTAGATTTGAGGGTTTGGGGGTTTAGGGTTTGGGGTTTCGGGTAGCGAGACTCAGACTGCCAGGGTTGGGATGTAGGGACAGGGCAGAAACCTGAGTAGCAGCGCCACCAGTAGTCAATACTCACCCTCACCACTCTCGCAACAATGGGAACACCAGCAGCAGAAACTACGCCAACGCCGACAACGAAATTAGTGCTTGCACTGCAGAGAATTTCCAGTACAAGTGCAACCTAAACCCTACATCCTAAACCCCTAAACTCTAAAATTCGAAAATAGCAAGATCAAAAGCCTTACGGGGTTTAGGGTTCCTCAAAGGTTCAAGCTTTAGAAGGATGTTTAGGTGGTCTGTAAAGTTTGATAAGGGTTGGATAAAGCTTGGGGGTTCCCTATAAAGCCTAAACTGCAAATCCTGATGAACCGAAGCCGTAAACCCCTCGACAGAGTCCACCAAACTTCGAATCACTCAAAGGTTGAAAAATAGGGGCCCAGATAATTACCAATACTATTTTGGGGGTTCCTTCTTATCAATATAGCATACTATACCCCGACCCCTATTCCGATTATTCGGGCCCCTATATTAGGGTTTATGGTCTAGGGCAAAGCTTGACATTTCCATCAAACCCGAAGGCTCTGAGCCTTCACATATGCTAAGCCCTACAGCCCTACACCCACACCCTGAGACCTAACGCATGAACCCTAAGCCCTCAAGGACCCTTCCAGCTCCCACACCCTACCACAACCCTAAGCTCGCGAACGCCTTCAACACATGAACCAATCAATCCCTAATGATTCTGTAATATACCCCCAACCCTACTCTAACCATTACACGCACAAAAAAAGCCGAAACCCTTACAGAACCTACAAAGCCGTTATAGAACCCTGTGCAAACTCTATGGAACCTTAAACCCTAAACCCAAAGCCCTTGGCAGAACACATCAAAGAGCTTTTATGTTAGGATTTAGGGCTAAATCCTAAACTCCAAACCCTAAAGCAAGCCTAGACCCTAAAACGCCACACCCTAAACTCTAAACCCTAATCCCTAAGCCCTAAACCCTAAACCTTAAACTCTATACCCCAAACCCTGAACCCTAAACCCTAAACCCTAAACCCTAAACCCGACGCCTTTTTCGCACCTCTAGGAGCTGAGCCGACACAGTCGGAGCTGACGCGCGCGGAAGCGCGGGCCATCATCGAAGGCTTCCGGCAAGTTTTTGGAGGGTTTAGGGCTTGGGGTTTAGGGTTTAGGGCTTTGGGTTTAAGGGTTCAGGGTTTAGGGTTTAGAGTTTAAGGTTTAGGGTTTAGGGTTTAGGGTTTAGGGTAAGTTTAGCGGTTAGGGTTTTAGGGTTTTAGGGTTTTAGGGTTTAGGGTTTAGGGCTTGAGGGTCTCAGGGTTTTGGAGTTCATTTCAGGGTTTTACGATTTGGGGTTTGGGGGTTTGGAGGATTTAGGGTTTAAGGATTTTGGGCTTTAAGGGCTTCATTGTTCAGGGTTTAGGTTTAGGGCTTTGCATTCATGCACGCATGCTTACTTCAATAAATACATAAATCAATACGTATGACATACATACAGACAGACATACATACATTCAGACATGCACACCCACCTGCGTATGCACGTGTGTAGGTATTACGTACGTACCGTGGGTGGCGACACTGGTGGGTTTTTCGGAACGACAGCGGGGTTCGTAGCCATTGTAGCGGGGAGCCATTCGGCAGGCGGAAATGAACGGGACTGCAGGGGAAGATGATGCGCATCCCCAGCTTCGCGTGGTCAACTGACCTGGTCAACCCTCAACCCCAGCCCCTAAACCCTAAAGCTGAAACCTTAAACCCTATGCTTAACCCCAAGCCCTAACCCCGAAGCTCTACACCCTAAGCCCTAAACGATTGCCAGCTTTGGAACTTCCATTACCAAAGCTCTGCGAACGGCACACCTTGGAGCCGCGAGGTTCCGACGAATTCGGTGCTCGGGTGTTTAGCGACGTCGATCGGTTGGAGCGTTAGGGTTTAGGGTTCTAGGGTTGTATGGGTTTAGGGTTTTTAGGGTTCAGTGGCCTTGGGATTTGGGAATTTAGAATTTAGGGTTTAGGGTTTAGGGGTTTCGTTTTTTTTTTGAATTCTTCATGGTTTAGGGATTGAGGGATTAGAGTTTAGGGTTTAGGGTTTAGGGGTTCAGGGGTTTTGGGTTTTAGGGTTTCGGGTTTTAGGGTTTAGGGTTTAGTAAGGGCCTAGGGATTTAGGGATTAGAGTTAGGGTTTATGTTTTAGGGGCTTAGGGTTCTAGGGTCTAGGCTTTTTTTAGGGTTTAGGGCCTAAGGATTTAGGGGTTTAGAGTTTAGGGTTTTAGGGTTTGGGGGTTCAGGGATTTTACGACGAACTCGGTGTTTTTTAATGGGCGTGGCCGGTGTGGGATTGCGGAGAGAACGAGGTGCATCGCGCGACAGCCGGAAGCGCAGAACCTACGAGAGTAGGGAACCCTAAACCCTAAACCCTAAACCCTAAACCCTAAACCCTAAACCCTAAACCCTACACCCTAAACCCTAAACCCTAAACCCTAAACCCTAAACCCTAAACCCCCTAATCCCTTGACCAGTTTAGGGTTGGGGGTTGATTTGCGTGGCTCGTCCATGCAGGGGGTCTCAACCCAGCCGGAAAGCCGCATGGGTCCCACACCTTCCCAGAGAGCCCAATACTCCTTAATTTTTGGAATATACCTTAAATTATAGGGGCCTTAGTAGTATGATTTAAGGTATATTCCTTAATTATAGGGGCCTTAATAGTATGATTTAAGGTATATTCCTTAATTAAGGGGTATTGGGCTCTCTGGGTTTGTCGAAACCCATCGGCAGGAAAGCTTGGACGTGAGAAAGAGCCGCAGGGTGCCTGAGACTGCATCCAGTCTTGCGCTAGGAAACCCCAAGTAGCCTAAACCCTAAACCCTAAACCCTAAACCCTAAACCCTAAACCCTAAACCCCTGAACCAGTGTTTGGGAGTAGAAGCCAAAAAAAGCTGGAGCATGCCCCCCTAAACCCTTACAGCAACCCCTAGGGCCCTAGAGTTGAAGTTACCCTTATAGTTAGACCCCAAACCCCAAACCCTAAACCCTAAACCCCAAACCGACCCTAAACCCTAAACCCTAAACCCTAAACCCTAAACCCTAAACCCTAAACCCCAAACCGACCCTAAACCCTAAACCCTTTGCTCTAGAAGGGCCAAGCCCTGCCGTTCGAAGCCTACACTCCTAGAAGACCCCGCAAGGGAACCCTACAAGGTCCCTGACAGGAACCCTAAAAGATCCCTAAAAGGAGCCCTACCTGCAGACCACCCTAAGTCCTCGCAACTCTCTTAAGACCCTAAACCCTAAACCCTAAAACCCCAAAACCCTAAACCCTAAACCCCAAGCAATACTCCTAAGGGTTCCAGTGAAGGCTCCCTTAAGGGTTCCTTTAAAGGGATCCTTGAAGGGCCATGGATTTAGGGCTTTTAGCACTGCAAGGGTGTTATAGAGGTACTATAAGGGGTCCCTGGAAGACCGTAACCCCTAAACCCAAAACCCTAAACTCTAAGCCTTCAACCCAAAACCCTCAACTCTAAACTCTAAGCCGCAAACCCTAAACTCTAACCTCCAAACCCTAAACCCCAAACCCTAAACTCTAAACCCTAAGCCCTAAAACTTTCACGGGTTTGAAGGCGAAAGAGTGGGCCAGCTGAACTTAAGCCCTAAACCCTAAGCCCTAAGCCCTAAACCCTAAACCCTAAACCCTAAACCCTAAGCCCTAAACCCTAAGCCCTAAGCCCTAAACCCACCTTTCAAGGAACCTCTGCGCTCAGGTGCCGTCCTGGTGGACGACCTCAAAGATGCTCTAAGTGCCTTCCTCGGGTCAGGGTTTAGGGTTTAGGGTTTAGGGATTCATGACGTAAGGGTTCCTTTTAGGGTTCAGGGGTTTAGGGGTTGAGGGGTTTAGGGGTTTGGGGGATAGGGGACTAGGGCTCCAGGGGTTTAGAGGAATAGGGGTTTAGAGGTTTAGGGGTTCAGGGAATTAGGGGATTGGGGGTTCAGGGGTTTAGGAATACAGAAGCCTGAAACCCATCAGGGCGATTCCTTAGGGTTCAGATGATAAGTTTATTAGTTTAGGGTTTAGGGTTTAGGGTTAGGGTTTAGGGTTTAGGGCTTTGGGTTTAGGGTTTATGGTAATATACTATAAGAATCCATCTTATACTTTAAACCGCTACCGCGAACCCGCCTCGGCCCGAGTGGCGAGGTTCAAGATGGGGAGGTTTACCGTTTAGGGAACAGGCCCTAAACCCTAAACCATTCTAACCCCTAAACCCTAAACCCTAAACCCTAAACCCCAAACCCTTTAGGGTTTAGGGTTTAGGGTTTAGGGCTCCCAAAGGTCTTGCAGGGTTCGACAGGGCCTTCGTCGGGGCGTAGAAACGGCCGCGTTTTTTTTTCGGAGCCCTCCTTTTGACAAACAAGTTTTGTCGTGATTCTACCACTGGGGTTCTCTTCCCAGCACCTGCTTCAACAAGGTTTTAATCCGCTGTAATCCGTATCTCGAATAATGGTTCCCAGAGAGCCCGATACCCCTTAATTAAGGAACATACCTTAAATCATACTATTAAGGCCCCCTTAACTAAGGAACATACCTTAAATCATACTATTAAGGCCCCTATAATTAAGGAATATACCTTAAATCATACTATGAAGGCCCCTATAATTTAAGGTATATTCCTTAATTAAGAAGTATTGGGCTCTCTGGGTTCCAATCGGATCCAGAGTCCATGTGTAGATGAACCACTCTAAACCAGGGTCCTCGGTAGCTGTGCTTCTAAGATTCTAAACCATAAACCGTAAACCCTAAA